GCTTCCCCCTCTTGATCGCGGGCTGGACTGACAAAACTTCCCTCATGTGTTCTGCCTTCTTGATCATACCTCGGAGCTCGCATACACGCGCCGGCTCCACTATACCGTGGATGACATTAATCACTCCTTGAGGGGCGCCTCCAAATCACCCAGTGCACGCGGATTAACCGAGACTTGATTTGCCTTCACGCCCCCGTCAATGTAAAGGTCCAGGTGTCCGGCTGCGACTAGCTCTTCCAAGTGTTGCCTCAAAGGAAAACAGTCCTCTGTCCAGTGGCCGCGCTCCCGGTGAAATGTGCAACAGTACCGCGGATTGAAACCCTTCTGTCCGTCGCCCAACTTAGCAGGAAACCGGACATAATCCTCGTCACGGATTTCCCTAAGTATGGGATAAATTGGAATCTTAAAAACTGTGGTAATGCCTGTCCTGGCCTTCAACCTTCTGTTTGCATCAGCGACGTCATCCCGGGGGTAGTCATCTCGGTCATGTCGATGACCCCTACCCCAGTTTTTACGATTTGAGCCACGGTCTGATTCCTCTGTGCGATCATTTGAACGGTTTGCCTCCTGTCTGACCACGTGTACCTTGCCAGCCGACCTCTTGTCTGTTGCTACCGGTGTTGCCTTCGTGGTAGATGCTGCCGCATCATCTTCTACTCGGATGTGCTCATTGATGCGCTGCATTAGCTGGCCCATGGATGTCGACTGGTGCATCGTAAGCGAGTCCCACAGTCTATGTTCGACCGGGAGACCACACTTGTACTGCGTGATTGCAAGGTTGACCGGGCAATCCAAGATTTCGTTGAAGGTTTTCCAGTATCTGGAGTTGTATGCCTTGAGCGTGTCGCTCGGCTCCATCTTGACACTGAGAAGGTGGTCAACTTCCTTCAGCGTCTTAGTGTTGGTTTTGAAGGCCGTCACAAAGGCTTCCGCCAACTGATGCCACCTTTCTATGCTCCCCTCCGGCAGCCTCTCAAACCATTTCAAGCCCAGCTCGCCCAAGCTTGACGGGAAGATAAGGCACATAAGGGCGTCATTTCGCCTATGTCCGGCCATGACTTATCGGAAGTGGCTTACATGCATATAAGGATCGATTTTTCTGTCGTAGAGCGTGAACTTTGACTGGTGGAACGCTGCCGGAAGCGGTGTTGTTTCTATCTCCAGGGAAAAAGGGGTGGCGCTCAGCCTTGCCAAGTCTGTGTCTAGAAGGAGTGGCGCAACTAGGCGGGGTGGAGGCATTCCGACTTCTTCACTGGCGTGAACCCCATAAGATAACCGCTGGAACGCCGGCACCCTATGAGCCTCTCCCCGACGAGCCCGTTTCTTCAAGACTACCCACAAATCCTCTGAACGAGCGGAATAAGAATACCTCGACGTCGTCGCCGGTCGTGAAGGTTGATAGGTGCTATCTTGGGCGCTGGGCCTTTGTACATGCGCGTCGGAATCTCCAACCTTATAACTTCTGGTGATTGAAATGGACGGAGTATGCCGTTGGCCCTGACTGCATGAACGACGGGGTTGGGTGCGCTCACTGTGGTCTTCCACTCCAGCTACACCTGTCCCTTTAACATGCTACTTGAGATCCTCCATCTCTGCTGTCATTCTCCGGATGACGGTGTCTTGGTCTCTTAGCTTGTGTTCCAGTCGTTTGGCGTGTGATTCCCTCCGCCGCCGGTGACCGTCTGGACTCCGAGAATGACCAAAGCTTCTTCCGCGCTTATCTCGCACGTCTCTGGAGTGTCCTCTTAGGGATGTCTCCAGGTCCGCCGTTGAAGGAATGACGGGATGTCCTTCTCTCCGTCTGCCTGACTCCGGGGTAACTCCGTCAATGGCAGACAACGGAATCTCGTCGTTGTTTGCCATGGACGGCGATCAGATGAGTCTGGAAGACAAGGTTTTGTCTGTCAAGGTTCCCACAGACGATGCCAATTATACGGGAAGCAAATATTCCGGCAAGCTCGTACTCATTTCTTCCAAGCTCCTGCCTGTCTGATCGATCTACGAGCACAACGGCAGTGAGCTACCCGGCAGTGTGTGGCCGGAATACCCCTCCGACAATCAAGTTAGACACACACAGGGATAGAGAGAGAGAGAGGATTGAGTGTTTAGTGTAAATCTCACCAAATGTTCATCTGCCTCAGTGTGGGAGGCGCGGACTTGCTTTTATACCTTCTACGCCCCAAATCTACTCCCATTAGTCTCTCGACACGTGGTGCTGCTATCTCATTTGTCAGCACAAATCTAGCTGAACATCACCTAACTGCCAGCCCACACCACTGGGAGCTCGGCAGCCGAGCTGCAGCATCTCGACTGTCAACGGCCGTGCTGCGCAGCTAGCCAGAGCGCTCCGCTCGCCAAGCTCAATGACGACCGAGCTCGGTTGCATTCCGGCTTAGCCAAGCTCGGGATAAGGGATAAGTCATGCTGGTCGGCCTTCTTGTCGAGCTAACGCATGAACCGTGGAACCCAGTGAGGTAGCGGACATCTCGACCGAACCTCACTTGACCGCTAGTACGACATCAATTATGCAACTATGCCATTACCGAGCAACTGTGCCATTACCGAGCGAAAATCCTTTCTGGATGGGCCCAGGCTGCCACGGCCCAAATGTGTTCGGCCCACAATTTGTCCGGCCCTTACCACGGCCCAATCCAAATCATAAATCTCCCCCTCAATGCCCAAACACTTTCTTCGGTTGAAATAACCAACTTGAGAGAAGCTAAACTTACTTTTTTTTAAAAGTTAAGTTTCTCTCATATTTGAATTTCAACATGATAGAATTTGAGGGGGCCTTAGGGCCTAATATGGGTCTCCTTTCGATGATCTAAACTGTTTATTTTGTAAAACTTGCAATGCATATTATTCAATAAAAAATTTAGAGCAATTTGATAATTGTAACCTTTTCATTTTATCGTATTATCTCTAGAAAAATGAATTGCCTATTTCAAATATGTATTTGTCGTTCATTTTTTTGGGGACAAATACAATAAAATAAAAAAGTTATTATTTTTAAATTGAACTAATTTTTTTATTGATATACATTATGGACTTTATAAAATGAACAGTTTAGATTATCAAAACGAGACACATTTTGAGCCCTATAGATCCGTGAAGTTCTGTCATACTGAAATCCTAACATGAGAGAGTAAGATACATATTCTATTATTGGTGGGAAACACTATATGATACACACAGATGTGTACCAAGTGCACTTTATAATTAAAGAAAAAATAACATAATTTCATATTTTATGAGTCATAACTAAAAAACATAACTAAACATAACATGAAATATAATTAAAAATCTCATGAGTTATAACTAAAATAATATCATAATTAATTAATAAAATTGCTCATATTTAAAGGAAAAAGTAGCATAACTACACCATTCGAAAGGTGTGTATATTAGAATTTTTAAGGGGTGATCATGTATCCGTCCAACTCGCTCAACCCAATTGATCTTATCCAACCTGATTGATTTTGGACGGATGCATGTCTTTTGGCGGACAGATACAAATGAAATATTTCAAAATCTACTAATACGGTTCAAATAACGGATCAATTATCTCGCACTCGCATGAACTCGGTCCGCCCGTAGATAAAATTCAAAACAAAAATAAAAAAGGAATTGTTCACAAGTAACAATATAAAGTAGAAATAACAAAATATATATTTTTGTGAAAATGAAAAATAATATCTTAAAAATATGCATGCGTGATACCATAATCTATTATAGATAAATAATATGGTGAATTACACTAACGGTTCCTATAATTTGGGACTTGTGTTATTTTGGTCCCTGAGTTTTCAATTGTGACACATTTTACCATGAATTTTGAATCTTGTTTCAAATAAAGACAATTGAAGATACCATTGCTCAATTTCAAGGGCAAAATTGCCAATTTGATAAAATATAAACGAAATTGACAAAAATAAATGTCAAAAAAATATTTTTGAATTTTTAAAAATTATTTCTACCACCTAAAGATAAAATTATGTAAAATTGATAAATCTTTTAGACATTTATTTTTTTTTTACCAAATTAATTTTTATTATGTGTTTGAATAATAATCATGTAATAGGTGATTGTTAGATTTTTAATGTGTAATCGATATATTTAATATATGAAATATTTTTAGTTTTAGATTTTTTTATTTATTTAATAGATTGGTTTAATAATGATATCCAAGTTGTCGCCATATTTGACTTTTAGAAAAACAGAAACTAATTTAATGAAAATAAAAACAACAACACATTACGTGATCATCATCTAAATACATAATAAAAATTAATTTGGTAAAATAAATAAATAAATGTGTAAAAGATTTATCAATTTTATATAATTTTATCTTTGATTAGTAGAAATAATTTTTAAAAATTAAAAAATATTTTTTTGACATTTATTTTTGTTAAATTAATTTATATTTTATTAAATTGACGACTTTATTCTTGAAATTAATAAATGATATCTTTAATTGTCCTTATTTGAGAACATGATTCAAAATTTAGGGTCATATGGGTTACAATTGAAAAATTAGAAACCAAAGTGACACAAGTCTCAAACTATAAAAACTGTTAGTGTAATTCGCTCTAAATGATACATATTTTTTTAAATTACTAGTTATTGGAAATTATAAAAATAATGAATTATAATTGAAAAAAAATGTCTGAAGTTTGTGAAGTTTAAACTACCAAATCAATTGCATCCATTTGTTAATTTACAAAATTCATTTAATCTGTATTGTCAAATTAGTGAACGAATGTAAATTAATTTTTTTTAATCTAACTAATTTCAAATAAATAACGAATGTAATGTCACTCAACCCAATCCGACCAGTCTATCACCTCTAGAATTTCCCATTATTGATTGAATTTAGATTTTGTTTGGAACAAATTATTTTAATATTTTTCTAATATTTTATGAAAAATTGTTTTAAAAAAAATAAAGTGAATGACGTAACAACAACTTATAATAAATTTTTTACTAAAATGAAGGCTGCCAAAGGAGGTGTTAATGACTCAAATCGTGTGCCCAGTATCCGAACACGTTTTTCTGTTTCTAGCTCCGGCATGACCTGAAACAAGAGCAGACCCAACACAGAGTGAGGAGAGCATTTGCAATGGACACTCGAATCTGCAGCTCTCTAGGCCTCCTCTCCTCTTCAAACGCCCTTCCCCTTCATCATCATCCTCATCCCATTGACGATTTCAATTCTCTCTTCAATCACCTCAACATCCTCATATCCACCCCAACAAGCCCTAACCAACCCAGTCGCAAAAAAACAGAGCAAATCAACACAACCCACAACAATCCATCCACTAATCTTCGATTCTCCTCCACCTCCGTCTCCCTCGAGACCCAAATCCAAAACCCACAAAAACCCACTTCTCAGAATTGGCTCAAACCCGCCGTCAGAGGTTCCCCCAAAGTCCATGCCCTGTTCAAGACCCTCTCTGTCTTCGAACGAGCCCTCATCGGGGCCGGCGCAGGAGGAATCGCCGGCGCATTCACGTACGTGTGTCTTCACCCACTCGACACCATCAAGACAAAGCTCCAAACCAAAGGGGCTTCTGAGATTTACGACGGTGCTTTCGATGCCATCGTCAAGACCTTCAAGAACAAGGGTGTTCTGGGTTTTTATAGTGGTGTTTCGGCCGTGATTGTTGGATCTACGGCTTCTTCTGCTGTGTATTTTGGGACTTGTGAGTTTGGGAAGTCGATTTTGTCGAAATGGCCTCAGTACCCATCTGTGCTTATCCCTCCTACTGCTGGTGCAATGGGGAATATCGTGTCGTCGGCGATAATGGTGCCGAAGGAATTGATCACTCAGAGAATGCAGGCTGGTGCAAAGGGAAGATCTTGGGAGGTTTTGCTAAGAATTCTTGAGAAAGATGGTGTTTTGGGGTTGTATGCTGGTTACTCTGCTACACTGTTGAGAAATTTGCCTGCTGGTGTATTGAGTTATTCCTCGTTTGAGTACTTGAAAGCCGCGGTATTGAGTAGAACCAAGCAAGCTAATTTGGAACCATTTCAGAGTGTTTGTTGTGGTGCATTGGCGGGTGCGATATCAGCGTCTCTGACTACCCCATTGGATGTGGTTAAAACTAGATTGATGACTCAGGTTCATGGGGATGCTGTAAATAAGGTTGCTGCTACTATGTATAGTGGGGTTAGAGCTACTGTGAAGCAGATTTTGAAGGAAGAAGGGTGGGTGGGATTGACTCACGGAATGGGGCCTCGGATTACTCACAGTGCGTGCTTTTCAGCATTGGGATACTTTGCATTTGAGACGGCGAGGCTTACGATTTTGGATCAGTATCTCAAACACAAGGAGTCTGCTGAGTTGTCTGCGGTTTCAACTTGATTCAATGGGTATACTATTTGTTGTTTTGATATCATTTACTCATTTCAATACTCAAGTCTTTTTGCTTTATTTTTTTCTACCTAGTAGGATTAGTAATCGAGAATAGGATAAGTGATAATGTGTTATGGCTATGAGAAAGTTTTTGTATTAAAACACTTAATTTGAGGCAATTCAATGGTGGTTGTTTCTTGTTACCTTTCTTACCTTCTTGTTTTTTCAGTTTGTTGTTTCATTGAGAATACACAAGTACGTTTTATCAATGCACTAGAAAGCTTATAGCATTGTTATGTTGGACAGTCACTACAGAGGCATAACCGCTCCAATGTGGGGCTAATTTGAGTTTGGTGCATTTCTTGATTTAGCTGATTTTACTGTCTATCCCATGATTTTAGTGCACGGAAAAGATGCATTTGTCTTTAAATAGATCAAATGAAGTGGAATGGCAAGTGAAAGTGCAAATTGTGGTTTGGGAAAATACTTTCTGCATATATGGTTATTTTAGACAATATTATGCATTGATTCTTTTGCTTACTGGTTGTTTATTTAATCTGAAACTACCATCTTAATTTAGTAAGTTTGAAATTGATTCTTTTTGTAAGATTACTGTATGAGAGTTTCTGGGAAATGCATTGCCTGGAAACCCATCATAAGTGGTGAATTTAGATTGACCTTGATTGTAGTTCAAATGTGTTGTTGAGCAGCGTATTAGGAATTGTGATCATCAAAACATTCAGTTGAATAAGCGAACTCAGGAATTCCTTTATCTGCACAATTTATTGTCTTCTTTCACTTATCGATGCTCACAGGTCTAGACATGGCGATTATATGTTTCCATCTTGATAATTTTGCTGTACTAAATTCATCAATTCAAATGTTCGAGGTAAAATCTAATTGTTATACCTGGAGGCATTATGGAGGTACCTGCATGAATAGTCTTACAGTTGTGATTCCAATTGGATTCAACTGCTGGTAGTTTTTTTTCTTTTTCATTTTGTACCCCCACCCTCATTACCCCTTGTGGTTAATCACACTTGATCCTTGTGATTTGGCCGATAAACACAGAATCCCCCTGTGGTTTAAAAAATGTACATTTGACCTCCTGTGGTTTGGACTTAAGTGCAAAATTGATGGAATTTGTTAAAGACAATATCATGTGTAACATGCCTTGATTAGGTGTGTTTTAACTTTGCTGGAATGAATTTTGAGGGACGAAAATTATTTTAATGAACTTTTTCTCGACACCACTACCACAAGGTTATGATGGTGGTGGTGGTGGTGGTGGTGGTGATGATGGTAGTTTTAGAACTGTATTACCAGAAAATGTTAATACTCTAGTGAATTACATATTGCTACGCGCGTTCTGAAACACGGTACACATTCGTTCAGAATGGTAAATTTAGTGATCCGAAAAGTTTTTTTCCAATATATTTCCTTAAATATTTCCTTAGGAGGAAAAAAATTAAATATAATGAACTAAAATATAAAGTGAGTTAACTTTTGACAAGATAAAAACTTCAACAATGAAAAATAAAAAAAATTAAAATACATTTTATTGGATAGCTAATACTTAAAAGAAAATTCCTATAGAAGTATCTTAAATTTTTACGTGTAATATATATAAGTTTATCCCTATCGTATCACATTTTACAGCATGTGGCGTACCACGTTCCCGTTTCCGTTCCTGTTCCCATTCCCGTTCCTGTTCCATGTACCAAAACAATCTACGTTCTAGGTAACATAGTTTTGGAAGGTGATGGATGGTAAATAGAGAAAATGAATTAAGAAATTAGAGAAGAGTATTTTGGACATTTTGTAAAAAAATTAACCTACGTTTTACACTCTACGGGTTAGGCCAAACCAGAATGGTGTTAAATGTGCATGCCTGCACAAGTATCTTTTTAAATAATGGTCTAGAGATCTGGTGTTGGGCTTTCACAGACAAACAAACACATTACTAGCTGTTAGCTTGATTTATTATCTACTTCTGATCCATAGGTTGGAGGTGTGGGCAACCATTCCTGGCTGTGAAGTGTGGATTGCACATGTGAGTATGACACCTACCAAGAAAAGTACTCCATACAAACTGAATGGCTGTGAGGTATGATACCCAACAACATTCTAAGTGAGTAAGGGTGCATATATATATATATATAGAATTGTTTAAAGTTCATTGAATTGATTGGACTATGTTATAGAAATGGGTAATGATGTACGAACAAAATTTATATATAAAAAATTTATACAGAATTATGTGTCTCATTTATATCCATTCATTGAGACTTGGAAATCAGAATGCCCATCATTATGGTTCATAATCATTCTCGTCTTAAATTCTGTATGAATATCATTTTTCTAAAGAAATATGTTAGATAATTAATGTCAATCCTCAAATGTTTTGTCAACAAAATCTATCTAAGGTCAAAGTAACTCGTTCCAGATTAATTGGAACTTGAATGAAACAAGTAACAGTAAGCTCATTTTGCAATATCTACTACTTTTTCAAGTAGTCAAGTGCTTCAAGTAGAGTTTCCGTGTACATACTTTTTTAAGTAGTAAATATGTCTGGAAATACTAACTTACAGTAGACATCTTTTTAGGAACGATATACTGATTACATAGGAGAACTTCTTTCAGTTAATTATGATTCTACAGGATGCCTAGATGATACTTTTTCAAGTTCCTGAGGCTAAAATCTTAGCATTTGATGGAATCGAATGTTTTAGTCCTCTCAAGATGAATTTTCGGCTTGTTTTCTTTGTGTTTGGTGATGCCATATGATGAGTTTATACTTGCTGAGTTGAAAGATTAACTGCTTATAGGAGTTATTGATACCTCTTTCTTAACAAGAAATGAATGCCTAATGATATTGTTTATGGGCTGCATGATACTAAACTTAACTAATGCTGTGAATACTTGTGTTTAGACTGTATATGTGTTTTATAAGGGATGTGCAAAAACAATTTACCATCCTATTCTATTTCTTTTCCATTTCTTGTGAACTGAACTGGACTAGTGTTTACTAATGATGCTGATGGACGTGTTCTCTTCTTTGGGAACTTCTGCTCCATGTTCTCAAGACTTTGTTTTCCCCCTATCCTTCTCATGACTTTTGCTTTTAATTGATTCTTCTTCTCTTATGGTTGTTTTTTAGCTGTTGCTCTTCGGTTAAGATAGGTGTAAGTCTTTTAGTTCTTGTTACTCCTTTTGTCATTCTTTTCCTGGCTAGAATGGGTGATTCATGCGCCTTCAATTTATGCAGTAGGATGGCTTTGAAGTACCTGCAACAGATTGGAAGGATGTAATTGGGCTGTGCTTAATTTTCATTCACTTCTCATGGTGTAGACTGGTTCGGCTAACGTTATGTTTGTTTTGACGAAAAATATTTTCTACCAACTTTTGTCCCCCATCAAATACTTTCTATAGAAAACATTTTTCTATGTTTGATTGTATTTTGAAACTTATGTACTAGTGGTTGCATCAGAAAATGTTTTTCAACTTTTAATAATGAAAAGCATTTTTCGTTCAATTAAGGCCTCGTTTGGCAAGTGACTTTTTTAGTCAAAAAGTTATAAAGTTACTTAAAAAATCAAAAAGCCAATAACCTATACCAAAAAGTCAAAGATTATCTTTTCTCTTTATTTTTTGTACATCTTTTCATAAAAAATCAAAAAGTTATCTCAAATATACTAATTTTTTTATATCATATTTTAGCCAAAAAATTAAAAAGTTACTAAAAAAATTTGTTCCCAAACGAGGCCTAAGTTTGTTTTCTGTTAATCACGAAATTCTTTGTTGATTTTCATATTTTTATTATACCAAAGACAAGAAAATACAAAATCCAAATAAACAGAGCGGAAGTACTACCTGCAACTTCTGCAGTGTTTTTGCCTTCGTCTGCTGAGCTATTGGAATCCTGGTTTGATTGCCACAATTAGTTGTTCATGAAAAATTAAGAGAAAATTAATCTAAGATTCCTCTCTTATTTTTAGTAATGGAAGAAATCTATAATATTATTTTTTGATGTCTAAGGCCCCTAAACCCCACATCCATTTATCACAGAGAAATTTGATATATCTCACGCTCTCTACCTCTCTCTCTCTTCCGCTGCTCTTCTCTCACTCTCTTTCGTCTATCTCAAAGACGAGATCACTCTGCTCTTGTCTCACTCTGGAATTGTAAATTCTAAGAATTTGAGTCCCCTAACATTGATTTTTGCTTTCAATTCATATATGTGAAATTTTGTGAAAAACCCCATTGTTTTGGTGATTTCTATATTGAGTATTTGAATCCCAATTCGGGGGATTTCTTGGATTCTATTTGGGTTTCTGAAATTTCGAAGAAGTTTCCTTGTGTTTAATTGATTATGTTGTTTTTGTTTATGATATTGTGATAATCCATGAAACCGATGTTGGAAAGTTGAAAATCCATGAAACCCATGTTATAATCTGATTTTTGTTGCATAGAAGGTCTGTGAAATTGCTTGGAAGCTTCCTTGTGTTTTTTTTAATCTTGCAAAACAATTAGATAATGGGATTCCTTTTTGATCATGCTCATGAAGCAGACTTCAAATCTAGAGGGAAAAACATTCTAAGTGTTGTTCTTCCATTGTTGAAACTCCTCTGTCTCACTATCATAGGCCTAGTGCTTGCCCACCCAAAAACCCAAATCATTTCTAAAGCCACTTCTCTCATCTCGTTCTTTGAATTTTGAATTTTCTCTCAATTTTCTTTGGTTGAGTTTTACCTGATCTAGAGAAATTCAAAATTTCTCTACTTTGTTCTTACCTGATTCAGAAAAATTCGAAATTTCTCTACTTTGTTCTTACCTAATCCAAAGAAAATTCAAAACAATTTAGAGAAATTCAAAATTTCTTTGTTTTGTTCTTACCTGATCCAGAAAAAATTCAAACCACTACAGAGAAATTTAATCTCTCTCACTGCTTTTCTCTCACTCTCTCTCACTCCTCCTGTTGCTTTTATGGCTTTCATGGTTCTGCTACAGTTGCTTATTTGATATAGAAAGAAGATGATGATGATGATGATGATGATGATGATGAAAGAATTTCTCTGGAGTGGTTTAAATTTTCTCTAGATCAGGTAAGAACAAAGTAGAAAATTTTTGAATTTCTCTGGAGTGGTTTGAATTTTCTCTAAATCAAGTAAAAACAAAGTAAAGAAATTTTGAATTTCTTTGGAGTACTTTGAATTTTCTCTGGATTAGATAAGAACAAAGTAGAGAATTTTTGAATTTTTCTGAAGTGCTTTGAATTTTCTCTGGATCAAGTAAGACTCAACCAAAGAAAATTGATCAAACTAGAGAAAATTGCAGTTCTCTTTTCTTTTCCAACTTCATTCCTCATTTTTAATGTGCTAGTAGCATAACTAACATTTTATCAGCTTACCAAAGAGCAGCAGCACACTGTAACAACAAACTAGACTTACAAATTCACGATGCTTTACAAGACCTAACATTATATTTTCACTCATTTTCATAACGTTACCCAACCAAAAAAATTTAAAAAGCTTTTTCCTTCCCCTGTTTCTTTTCTTTGACAAATCCAAAATCCAATCGTATGGATGGAATTAGGAATTGAAATTTCAAACATTCCTATTCTTTCTTTCTTTTGTGCCAGTAAAAGGACAAGGAAGAGAGAGTCCAAACTGTACAATTTTTGGTCTAACTGATCAGTTCAACAAGCCCATCCACCCAATCATTATGTATTAGATGACCGAATAAGACTATGTTATCCTGAGTTTGCACACTTGGAGTGCTCCTGCCTATGATCAATTCTGTCTCAGTTATCTACAAAAAAGAAAAGAAAAAGATGATCCACTGAGATTATGTTATGTGCTAACTTCTTAGTGCAAAAAACAAAAGAAGCTTCTTGACTTTCAAGTGGCTGGTTGGAGAAACATGGCAAGGTCTATTGGTTGCCTTGCATCTTCAGCATATGATTGCTGTCAGTTCTTCACAGAAGTTGACTGCATGATCTCTCCAACCTGATAGAATTTCTCAGTTATCAAAATTTCTCTGGAGAGAAACATAAAATTTCTCTGGGTTGCAAAGAATTTTTCTGGATAGAATTTTTCTGGGAAGTTTAGAGAAATTCTCTGGATCAATTTGAGGGACCTTAGACATTATGAAAATATTAGATGTCTTTTATGCTATAAAATCTTAATACCAGGGACCCTTAAAAAAAAAATCCAAAAATTAACAGTTCTAATTAAAGTACAATAAGAGTATGTTACAGATAACTCTTTAAATTTTAATTTTTTTTAATTTATTTAAATTTTCAACTTTTGTTTCTTGTAAATATTTTGGTTCTTCAGTCTCTGGATGATGACACATGAGTGAACTCTCGATTTTAAGAATTGGCAGCTGAATTGTGTTGATATTCATGTTATGAATGGATACAAATAACTACTATGGCACAAACAGGAATAAGAACAATAAACGAAAAATAGTTGCACACACATGATACAAATAATTTACGTGGTTCATTCGAAAATTAAGACTATGTCCACAGCTGTTGCGATAATTGTCTCCCAATCGAATGGTTAGTATGTTATTGCAATAGTCGTCTGTCAGTCAAACGGTCAGTGATCAATATTTATCATGATCTACCCTACTCAATAGTCTCCCACTTTGCTGCTACTTTCATCTTACATCTCAGTCATTTTCTGTAAAGTGCTATTTATTTTGCTTTTGAGCTTTGTACATTAGGGTTCAAATGTGATGGAGTCTAGAATTTGCATGGAGAATAAGAGTAACACCATATCAAAAGTAATGGTATAATGATCATGTATCTATATTATATTAGTTTTATTATTTTATTTGTTATAAAGGTATCGATTGAATAGGTTTGATCACTTATATTTGTTATCAATATAGTGATGACATATCACATAATAAATTAAATATGATATAATTCATTGTAATATTACTCTTATACCAATGAGAAAGTATTTTATGTAACTGATACATCACATAATCACTTATGATTGAATGTGTAATAAATAGCAACGAAAATTAAGACTATGTCATCACTATATTGATCACTTATATTTGTTATCAATATAGTGATGACATATCACATAATAAATTAAATATGATATAATTCATTGTAATATTACTCTTATACCAATGAGAAAGTATTTTATGTAACTGATACATCACATAATCACTTATGATTGAATGTGTAATAAATAGCAAATTAATACATAATAGCCACATGGGTCAAATTGAGAGAATTTTTTCAAAGGTTTCAAAAAAAAAAATTATATTTTAATTGGATTTAATGATAGAATGTTAGGGTAAAACTTTCTTTTCATTATGGATTAAAAATTAATTTATTAGCTAAAAATTTTATTAAAAAATTCACTTTAACCACCGCATTAAAAAGGTTTAAAAAAAAATAGAAATGTACCAACAAATTAATTTTTTATAAACTTAACTTTAGACAATAAGCTTTCTTTTTTTAATTAATTCTCAAAAAAGGCCCAAGTTAAATTAAAATAAAATAAAAAAATTCATGCAATTTTATAAGTTCAAATTCAATAATAATAATAATTAGAGATACGACCACTTCAACAACACACAACTTCATGAGATGATGTTATCTTGTTAACACAAAATATGGTAAAAAATAAATAATATAAAACTAATAAATAGTAAATACACCAAAGTGCCACTTTTAAGATTTTTTGGTTTTATTTATTTTTTATGAATAATATCATAAACCTAATTTAGAATTCACGATCTATATATTATACAAGTAAAATGAAATTTTTAGTGAGAAAACCTTTAAATCATTCATATGTCTAATCTCAATTTTTTATTTTTTCAATTTAAAAAAATAATAAACTATTCATATGTCTCACATAATATTTGAATTAAAAAATAAAAAATCTTTGAACCCATCTCCTAAGATCATTACCTAAAAGATGATCATTTCTCAAAATCAAATATAGAAATACGGTTTGTTGACCTTCCAATTTATTTGTCTATCTTCTAAAATCTCTACATAATATCCTTCATTCCTTAAAATAAATTAAACAAAAATCAATTCAAATCTATTTAAATTGTTTTGGTTGATTGATTTTGTTTCCTTATAATTAATTTGAAAAATTGATTTAGTTGTTTCTCTATAATTAAATTGTTTCCCTATAAATAAATTAAATAAACTAATTTGGCTGTTTCCCACACAAAATTTATAAATTTTTAAGTTTAAAAAATAATTTAAAAATTAAAAAAAAAATCATGATTTATGATTTAGAAAAGGAAAGATGAAGAAGATCCTTTTTGTGCACTCTTTCTCCAACAATTCTTTATGCTACCTCAAAACCCTTAACCATCATACATCCTCGTCTTATAAATATTACATTCATGCAATAATGCAGCTTATTATTTTTCTCTATCTTTATGAGATAATTGAAAGTTAGTTAATATTTAATTTCTTGCATTCTTTAAACTGACTTTTTTATTTTATTTTATTTTTACTTCTAACCATCTTTTGTTTTTGCATTTTATATTTTATGTATCATTTGTTCATCTATTATCTACTGACCATTATTTGTTTTTTTGCTTGTAACCATGTTTTTTGTTGAAAAATATTATTTCACTAGAATTTGTATGCAAAATTTTATTCTAAAATGATGTGATAGTGTCATTTGTATAATAAAAAGTATGTCAATGGACTCTTTTATTATAAAGTGATAGATTAAAATTCAACCAAATCATTATTAATAATTTTTTTTTTATTGATTTTATGTTTGTATATCACTACTCTTTTTATTTATTTTTATTTTTTACTTTTAATATTTTGTGACATCATAATATGTGTTAACTGACAATTGGTGTAGAGCATTACTACAAAATTACCTGATAAATTTTTCTTTCATATTTTTATAACTTTGTTTTAATATTTTTATCTACAGTTGATTTTATTTAAAAATATCAATTCAAAAAATATTTACATAAACAAATATCCGCCTATATGTTTACCAATTTAAAAAATATTTACATAAATAAATTGGTCAATCGACTCTTCAATTTGTGTTGATTGACATAAATTTAACATGACTTAAAAATAAAGTTAACTTTTAAAAATACATTTACATTTTACGATCAACTTAAATTTATCATACTCTATTAATCGACAAACTAAATTTTACGAATACGAGAATATTTTTTCTAATGTACTTATTGAAATAAATATAAAAATTTAAATATTTCATTTCAATTTTTTTATGACATCACCTTAGAAATAAAGAGAGATAGAAGTTGAGTAGGAGAGAAGAAGAGAGAGAGAGAGAAAAAAAAAGAAGAAGATAAGTTCGTTATATCACTTGACAAAACTATGGAACGATAAATTATAATTACGAATTTTGTTGATAATGTAATTATACTTGATTGAAAGTATATTTTTTTTTAATTTTAGAAAATTCATTTGTTTTAATTTTACCAATTGAATTATTATATATTTATTTGATATAATACTTAGGACAAAACATTAATAGCAACAAAATAAAATAAAATAAAATAAAGCAAAAATTATGTAACTCATGCCATGTGTGGGATATTATCTTTTTGATTAAAAAGTCAACAACTAAAAAGTTTTAAAATGTATTTGGTATGTACCAACAAAAAAAAAAAAAAAAAAACAGCTCAAGCTAAAAAAAAAAGTTCGAAAAGATTAAACAATTATTGTGAGTGTGTGTAGGTATTTACACCTTTGGAAGGGTAAAACCGAAAATTTAAGTAACAAACAAAAATATTTGCATCCCATACAATTAAAAAATTCATTCTTAAATACATTAATTATTTTTTTTATCTCTTAAAAATTCCAAAAAATCACTTAAAAAGCTAATTTTAAACACCCTATTTGTTAAAAAAAAGTAAAAACTTACTTACTATTATTTATTTTTTATTTTTTTTAAAATCGATTTTAATTAATTTAAAAATAAATTTATCAATTATTATTTAATCTCCTGCATAACACGAGTAATATACTAGTAATAATATAATTGAATATACAATAAATTAAAAGTTAACACAACTTGTCAAAGGAGTAATAGTGGATTTTTTTTTTTTTGAAAAAGGATTCCCTCCTGTCCAAATCTAGGCTAAAGGGTGTTGTTTGGATTTGTGGGGCCTATTATAGGTCCCATTTCGATAATTTAAATCGTTTATTTTGTCGAACTTTTTTTATATTTTATCTATACAAAAAATTAGGCCGACGTAACTTATTCAATTTATCGTTTTTTAACCAAAAAATATATAGTTTATTTTTAAAAATATAATTTTTTTTTTATTAAAAATACGATAAATTAAATAATTTATATTTATCAAATTGATTTAATTTTTTATGTAAATAAAATACCCAAAATACTTGATAAACGAACCATTCAAATTATTAAAATAAAATATATGATGGAGCCCTCTGTCGGAGAGGATCCTCCTTTTGTTCTTTTTTTTTCAATCACACAACAGTGATGATCTGTCAAAATGTTAGTGGCGCTCGAACAGAAAATTTTAGTTCGGTTTACAGGTGATTCCTTCATCCCCTAAAGTGCCGATTGTGAGCCCAACGGCACATCGCGCGCTAAGGCACTACCGTCCCCCCCCTCTCTCTCTCCCTCCCTCCCTCTTTCTCTGCAGAAATTACTCTGTACATTCAAGGTTTCCACAAACAAGATCAAACCAAAACAATCACTCACGCATTAGATCAAACACTTAAAACGCACCAAGAAACTCTCACTTTCTACAACTATGTCATCACTCTAAACCGCCAAATACATCCATTTTGAACCCACCCACAATCACCATGCTCTCATCTTCCATTTTCTCTTTCTGGGTTCTCTTCATCTTCTTCAATTCCCTCTCCCCATCTCTCTCTCTCCCTTTCTCTCCTTCAACCACCACCAACAACAACAATCTCACCCTCTTCGGCGATGCTCACTTCATCAACAACTCAATCAGCCTCACCCAAGAACTCAACTGTCTCTCTCCTCCATCTCCACCTTCTTCTTCTTCTTCTTCTGGGGTTGGCAGAGCTTTCTATGTCTTCCCAATTCGCTTTCTTGATTCTTCAACCAACTCCACACTTTCTTTCTCTTCCCGCTTCTCTTTCCGTCTCGCCCCTTCTTCCTCTCTCTGCCCCTTCGGCGATGGTTTCGCTTTCCTAATCACTTCCAAATCATACTATGTCGGTCTCTCTGATGGGTATATGGGTCTCCCAAACCAATCTTTTCGTGGCCAAGACTCGTTTGTTGCTGTTGAATTCGATACCAGTTTGGATTCTTCTCTTGGTGACATCAATGACAACCATGTTGGGATTGATGTTAACTCTGTTGTCTCTCTTGCTTCCATTGATGCTTTTTCCAAAGGGATTGATTTGAAGAGTGGGAGACAAATGACTGCTTGGGTTGAGTACAGAGATATGGAGAAGACGATCAGAGTGTTTGTTGGGTACTCACAGAACAAGCCTCTCATCCCTCTTCTTGTCGCCCAAATCGATCTTTCGATGCAATTCAAGGAGTTTATGCACGTTGGTTTCTCTGCTTCTAATCTTAGAGGCTCCGCAACGCATCTTGTCGACAGTTGGCGATTCAAAACTTATGGATCACCCTCTTCAATGACACCAATGGACATTGTTGAAGAAGGGGACTGTTTCTTGTGCTCCTTGGGCAATTCAGGGGATGAAAATGGTCATATGAACAAAAGGGTTGGTGAATTGGTTCTTGTCTTGGGGGGTTTAGTTGCATTTGTCATCTCTGTATCTACAGTTGTTGTCATAGTCATTGTGTGTTTGATTAGGAGGAGAAGAAGAGTTAATAGGAGAGGTTGCAATGAAGGCCGAATTTGTAGATTTCAAGGGAACAGAATACCCAAAAGACTCTCACTCTCCGCAATAAAATCAGCTACAAAGGGTTTTAACCAAAAGAGAATCATTGGTGAAGGAGGGTCTGCGATTGTCTATGAAGGGTATCTTCCCTCTTGTGGATTAGTAGCGGTCAAACGGTTCAGTCAGGTCAATCAAATTGGTTCTTTTCACAGTCACTTCACCACTGAGTTTGAGACAATGGTGGGTTGTTTACAACACGAACACTTGGTTCAGCTCCAAGGATGGTGCTGTGAAGGGAACGAGTTAGTACTAGTCTATGAGTACATGGCCAATGGAAGCCTTGACAAAATTCTCCACAAAAGCAACAATGCCCTAACGGTTTTCCTCACCTGGGATCGAAGACTCAACATAGTTCTAGGTGTTGCCTCGGCCCTCATATATCTACACGAAGAATGCGAGAGGCAGATAATTCATAGGGATGTGAAGACTTGCAATATAATGCTCAACGACGAATTCAATGCGAAATTGGGAGATTTTGGTTTGGCTGAAGTCTATGAACATAGTTCCATCACCCGAGAAGCTACCATACCAGCTGGAACAATGGGGTATCTAGCACCCGAGTATGTTTATTTGGGTGTTCCAACTGTGAAAACTGATGTTTACAGCTTTGGAGTTGTGGTTTTGGAAGTGGCGTCGGGGAAAAAACCCGTTGATGATTATGGGACTGTGCTCGTGTATTGGGTGTGGGATTTGTGGGAAAAGGGGATTTTAATTAAGGCTGCGGATTCGAAATTGAGAGGGAGGTTTAATAGGTTGGAGATGGAGAGGATGCTAATGGTTGGGCTTTCTTGTGTGCACCCGAACTATGAGAAGAGGCCTACGATGAAGGAAGCAGCAAGGATGATCAGAGGGGAAGCTCTGCTACCCATTTTGCCGGCGAGGAAGCCAATGGTGAGGATTCGACCAATACAGGCTGAGGGGTCTGAAGAAATTATGAATTTTGGTGGAGATGATAATGCTAATTTGGATGACACACCATGGTTGACCCCCAAGACACATTTTTAGATTGAATTTCATGAGAAAGATGGCCTACTTGAAATGTGAGTGTGCACACTAACTGTGATTGATGTTCTGCATGCTTTGACATGGTTTTTAGACTCAGAAATCCTACAATTTATGCTTTTCAAATATTATGCTTGTGAAATAACTCTTGAGAATTGTCCTCTTTATGTTATGTTTGGTAGAAATGATATAATACCACTGTGTTTTTTGACCGCATGTGAAATTTATCTACTTTGGTTTGTTCGTAAATATAACACAACAGTATGCTTGAACCCTAGCTTGGCTGCACTTTTAAAGCTGATTATGGAAACTAGATGGACTGTTTGGTTGCATTTTTGTTTTCGTAGAAAATTTGTTTGGTGACCTATCAAATTCTTTTTCAATATAGTATGAGAAAATACTTGACAGAACTAGTCATCTAAACCTAGCAAGTAATGTGTAAGCAGTCTTTATGCTTGATGGTGGAAAAAAGGTTCTCTTAAGAAAGTTGAGTTGAGGAAATCATCATAGAAGTTGAACTGTTGGCTAAATCTTGTAGAGAGTCTATAATTTAAGGTTTGGGTGACCTTAAATTAAACCTTAAATTATGGAGACCACTCTTAATCCAAATGGTACTCTTTTGATTAAAGCATTTGCAATGCTCCCAATAAATTTTCCAGTGTGTAAATTGATCATCATCAAGGGGAGGAAAAAAAAAACATAGGAGAAAGAAATGGACTAATTGGCAGTCGGTCTCATTTGAGAATATACTATTTTAGTAACTTTTTAATTTTTTTTTGAAAATATGTGCAAAAAAATAGAGAGAGTAATGTGACAACTTGCAGTGACTTTTTAACGTTTTAGCTAAAATGTTTAGTACCCAAATGAACCAAATTTTCCTTTTTACTTTCCTCTCTATTTCTGCAAAATTCAGCAATCAAACTATCCTTAAAGGTTCATGATTTCATCGTAAAATTGAGCTCTATGGACATGCCATTAGATTGATTGTTCCCAATAAACATAACCTAATTAAGTCAAATTAATAAAATTTAGGCCATGTTTGTTTGGGCGGACTGGATTAGTATTCCCATGACTAATAATCCTGGGATTACGAATTCGTTGGATTATGTATCCAACGAATTCGTTGGATTAACTAAAAGTCAAGTTTAAAATAATTAGTCCGTACTTCAATTGTTTAACCAAACGTCGGATTAATAATTTTATTAGACTATTAGTCCAATCCCAAGTTCATGTCCATCCAAACAAACATGGCCTTAATGTATTATTTAAATTTCAAGAGATATCGTATTTATAATTTACTCCTTTTAAAATGACGATTTTGCATATTGCCTTTACTCTCTCACTATGGCTTATTTTGAGAAGGTTGCATTTCAGTTAAAAAGTTACTACAAAAAAGTCATTTTAAAAAAAAAAACTTTTTTCATATCTTTTCTTAAAAAACTAAAAAATCACTAAAAAAAAAATCAATTATCAAAATAACCCTATATTTCATCCCTTTTTTCCCTTCACTCTCTGTTGGCTGGTAAATTCTTGAGGAAATTACAATTCAGCTTATTTAATTTAAAATACTTACAAATCATGGGGTACAATTTTTTTCTGTGAGAAAAAGCACACCAAGAGTTCCACTTTAAAAGATTCTCATCTTTTGGTACATGTTCCCCCAACCTTCCACGTAACAGTAATTTTTCTTAAATTCTTTACGGATTGTCCCCAATTCAAGAAAAATTATTTGGTAGCGTAGAGGCAAATTCACCTTATATCTCAATTACATTTTTATTGATTAGAATAATGAGACTTAATAATTATTATTTGATTTTTGAGAAACATTTGTCACGTGTTAAATAGTGCGGAACAAGTAACCACTTCCAATTCAAATGCAACTCTATCAGAAGTGAAGGAGTAATTTTACATAGGCTAATGTTAAAGATGCTGAATTGTTTAGTAAATAAATAATTAAATATCTCATATTATGTGAGATATTTGATTATTTATTTGGTAGAAAATTTAGAATCTATACCATTTTTTATTCTACATATAAAGCTTGTTTTTGCTAGAAAAGCAAGTTTTTTTGTTTTTGTTTTTGTAAAAAAATAATTGTTCTCATATATTTCACCAAAAAACCACACAAAGCTTTTAACATAACCAAAAAAATTACTTTTTTTTTTTTTTTACAATTAATAAACACATCAATTTTTTTCTTAAATTTTTAAAAATTATAATTTCACTGTTATCTCGTACACTGTAACCATTTTTTTCTATTTCTTTCTTAAAGTATTAATTTTATTCTCTCACTATGGCTTATTTTGAGAAGGTTGCATTTTAGTTAAAAAGTTACTACAAAAAAAGTTATTTAAAAAAAAAAAACTTTTTCATATCTTTTCTTAAAAAACTAAAAAATCACTAAAAAAAAATCAATTATCAAAATAACCCTATATTTCATCCTTTTTTTCCCTTCACTCTCTGTTGGTTGGTAAATTCTTGAGGAAATTACAATTCAGCTTATTTAATTTAAAATATTTACAAATCCTGGGGTACAATTTTTTTCTGTGAGAAAAAGCACACCAAGAGTTCCACTTTAAAAGATTCTCATCTTTTGGTACATATTCCCCCAACCTTCCACGTAACAGTAATTTTTCTTAAATTCTTTACGGATTGTCCCCAATTCAAGAAAAATTATTTGGTAGTGTAGAGGCAAATTCACCTTATATCTCAATTACATTTTTATTGTTTAGAATAATGAGACTTAATAATTATTATTTGATTTTTGAGAAACATTTGTCACGTGTTAAATAGTGCGGAACAAGTAACCACTTCCAATTCAAATGCAACTCTATCAGAAGTGAAGGAGTAATTTTACATAGGCTAATGTTAAAGATGCTGAATTGTTTAGTAAATAAATAATTAAATATCTCATATTATGTGAGATATTTGATTATTTATTTGGTAGAAAATTTAGAATCTATACCATTTTTTATTCTACATATAAAGCTTGTTTTTGCTAGAAAAGCAAGTTTTTTTGTTTTTGTTTTTGTAAAAAAATAATTGTTCTCATATATTTCACCAAAAAACCACACAAAGCTTTTAACATAACCAAAAAAATAACTTTTTTTTTACAATTAATAAACACATCAATTTTTTTCTTAAATTTTTAAAAATTATAATTTCACTTTTATCTCGTACACTGTAACCATTTTTTCTATTTCTTTCTTAAAGTATTAATTTTATCTATTTAATTTCTAATTTTTTTCTTAATTTATGTTCATTTACTTCAATTGGAGACGATTGTACAAATTAATAATGATTAAACCTAATTTGTTGAAAAAAAATATTTCAAAATTTGAACAACTTATACAACAAGATACTCATTTTTCCTTACTATTTAAACAAATTACACCTCAAAACCAATTTAACAGGTGTTTGGCAGCATGATTTAAGTTGTTTAAATCATAAAATTATATTTTCATGCATCAAACTAGGTTGCAATGGCTACTGATTTGTATATTCATTTCCAATTGAACCTGGTGAATAAAAATTAGAAACTTTAAGGATTAGTGAGTGTTTGGGATTGAACTTTTTTAGTAGTGTTTTTGTTGATTTTTTTTTTCTCTAGTAAATTTTTTTCAAAAAAAAGTTTAAACATTTAAATTCAAAAATAGAAAAGTAAATTTTTTTTTGGCTATTTTAGCTTCTTCTTTTTTTTGTCTTTAATAAATTTTGTATAGATTTATTTATTTATTTTTATAATATATATATATGTATATATATATGTCTATTTTTTAGATTTATTGATGTGTAAATGATATGATTGGTTGATGATTGAGAAAAATATGAGAAAAGACATTGCTTTATATATCTTAATTGATTGCCACATTATTGGATTTGAAAAGTGAGTTTAATTTTTGAATTTGAATAATAATGCTCTAGAACATATATAGTAAAAAAATAGGGAAAATTGCAAATACATAGAACAGTCACAGAATAAATACAGTACAAATGATAATTTTTGTGGTGAGCATCTCCAACGGTAGTAGGCATTTTACCTATCTAAATATTACTATAAAATATATATTTTATTTTGCCTATCAACTGTTTTATGTTTTTACTCCAACCATGCATAATATATATATATATGTTTATTTTTTAGATTTATTGATGTGTAAATGATATGATTGGTTGATGATTGAGAAAAATATGCGAAACGACATTGCTTTATATATCTTAATTGATTGCCACATTATTGGATTTGAAAAGTGAGTTTAATTTTTGAATTTGAATAATAATGCTCTAGAACATATATAGTAAAAAAATAGGGAAAATTGCAAATACATAGAACAGTCACAAAATAAATACAGTACAAATGATAATTTTTGTGGTGCAACTCTAATATAGTGGAAGAGTTGCACCAAGAATAGGTATGAATTTGCACTATGTACACAAGAGAATTGTACCATCATGAAATATTTTTTTTGCCATTGCTCTACTGAAATGCAATTTTCTTAAAAAAAATAACTTTTATTTTTTTCTTAGGCTATGACTTCTTTAAACCATTCACATTTTAAGATTTGTCGAGTGTATCATTCTTGTAAAAAATCAACTCAATCGTATAATGAAAATAATGTGTTTAGATTTGTTTTGTATGAAAAAAGTGAATGATGAGAAAATAAACCATTCATAAAAAATTGATCTGAACACGTGATTTTCATTATCCAATCGACTTAATTTTCTACAAAAATGATATTCTCGACGAATTTTAAAATGTGAATGGTTCGAATTATCAATATAAGACTAAAAAATGAGCCTACTGAGCCGGATTGAATGATCCAATCTGATTACGGATAGCAGACAATATCTAATCCTTTTTTCTTAATACACCTCTTGAAGTATAAGCTTAATGCATATCATTTCTTGACGTTTGAAAAATTACATTAACTCTTTGTTAATGTAATTATTTAGACATAATAAATACATTGAACTCATACACTCATTATTTTCTTACTTTATTTTACTTTCTTTGTTTTTTTTCCCTTTCTTTTACTTTATTTTTTTAAATGCTATTTCTTTTCTTTTTTTACAAGAAGTTGTTTTTTTTTTATAAATAAAAAGTTTGTGAAATAAAATTATTAATTACAGGTTGAAAATGTAATTTTCAAAACATCAACAACTAAAATGTAATTAGGAATGGCAACGGGCCGGGGTGGGGCCGAGGACCACACCCCTCGTCCCCGATCCCGATGGTAGAAATTTCCCCGCTTCCATCCCCGATCCCCGACGGAGAGCCTATCACCGCCCCCATCCCCCGGCCCCTAACAGGGATCAGGTTTCCCCAACCCCGAGAATTCCCCGGCCAAAATATAAAAAAAATACACAGATCTGAGCTCAAATGTACATATATTCATCATCAATAACAACAATATGTATTCATCAACAACAATCATCTGTTCATCATCATTATCAACAACAATACACCCATTCATCAACAACAATAATAATTTGTTCATCATCATCAAAGATCTGAGTTCAAAATGTAAAAAATAAAAAATAAAAAGTCTAACACATTCAAAGAGGGAGACGACGGCGGAGGGACGGAAATCTGACGATGATGAGAGGAGGGACAACAGTGATGGAGCAGCTGCGTAGATCGCCGTGATCGAGGGACGTCGGCGCTGGGGAGGAGGGACAGCAGCGATGGAGGGACGACGGCGATCGACGGTGATGGGAGGAGGGAGATCGACGATGATAGGAGGTAGGAGATCGTGCTGCGCAGAGAGAGAGAGAGAGGCAGAGGCAGACTTGAGAGAAATGAATGTGAGTGTGTGAGTGTGAGAGAGGTAGATCAACAACAATACACCCATTCATCAACAACAATAATAATTTGTTCATCATCATCAAAGATCTGAGTTCAAAATGTAAAAAATAAAAAATAAAAAGTCTAACACATTCAAAGAGGGAGACGACGGCGGAGGGACGGAAATCTGACGATGATGAGAGGAGGGACAACAGTGATGGAGCAGCTGCGTAGATCGCCGTGATCGAGGGACGTCGGCGCTGGGGAGGAGGGACAGCAGCGATGGAGGGACGACGGCGATCGACGGTGATGGGAGGAGGGAGATCGACGATGATAGGAGGTAGGAGATCGTGCTGCGCAGAGAGAGAGAGAGAGGCAGAGGCAGACTTGAGAGAAATGAATGTGAGTGTGTGAGTGTGAGAGAGGTAGACTGACTCAACTTAAACATATATTATATGAAGAATATTCAGGGAGTATTCGGGGACGGGGACGGGGACGGGGTTGGGGGAATCAATCCCTGTCCCTGCCCTGAAAATTATCGGGGATTAATTTTCAATACCATCCCCGACCCTATGGAGATAATTTTTGAAAAAAAACCCGTTCTAATTGGGGTTAGGAGATCGGGTTTCCATCGGGCCGGGTTTAAATTGCCATCCTTAAATGTAATCAAAGTGCCGGTGAACCATCTCCGGCCCTATAGAGATAATTTTTGAAAAAAATCCGTTCCAATCGAGATCGGGAGATCAAGTCTCGGTCAGGACAGATTTAAATTGCCATCCCTAAATGTAATCGAAGTGCTGATGAAATTTACCCAAAAAAAAAAATAAAAATAAAGTGAAACGTGAGATTACGGTGGGTTCGCGTGGCAGATTCTTAATGGGCACCTTTCAACTCAATCAAACAGAGCGTGCGCATTGCAACCTGGTCTAGGGTTTCTGAAAACGACATAGAGAGAGAGCAACCTGGTCTAGGGTTTCTGAAAACGACATAGAGAGAGAGAGAGAGAGAGATCATCTGTGCTTTGCTATGGCAAATCTAACTTCGCTTCTTATCTCAATCGGTTCACATTAGCAGAATATTGCAATCATTCGTCGTATCATATGCTGAATCACCTCCAAAACCCTAGCAATATTTTCTTCGTCACCATGAAAATCTGTGTTTCTCACTCCTCTGATCGGTTTCTTTGAGGGCTTTTCAATTCCTCATAAAAAAAATGGTAATTTTTTTTCCCACTCCTCTACCTTCAGTTGGTTTCTTTGTGGAAATTTTGTGTATTATTGTGATTGTGATTTTGATTTTGATTTTGATTTTGATTTTGGTGAATGTAGATGGATTGCATGATGGGTATGTGTTTATTTGAATTGTTTCTTTCTTGTGTATGTGTTTTTTTAGTTAGAATAGGAGCCAACAGTGTGTCAGATAGATGATCAAGGAATGCCAAAATAACCAAACAATGTTGTAATGGAAACTTATTATTTTGCTTTGTTGTATTAGTTTTATTTCTTAGGAGTTTCTAGAATGGTTGTTGGTTCAAGAGCTCTGCATCTAGTTGTTGGGACTGACTTGTGGGCACATGCATTTTGGTTTCCATTTTAAGGGATATGTAGTGATCTAGGGGACCAATCTAGAAAGGGAGATCCGAAGAGGTTGCCACATAAGAACTTTAAATGTATGTACCTACACTAGTCTTGTGTAGAAAGCAAAATGATCAGGACACTTAGCATAGGAGCCTCATCATTAGCGACCAATGGACCTTAGTAGTTAAATGCGTGCTATTTGCAAACAGGTCACTCTTATTCCTAGGAGAGTAAGTGTTGTTGCAAGTGTGAATAATTGGAGGGGACACTAAAAGAGGTAGACTGAGACCAGAATATGGGATCATCAGGAAAGAATTAAGACAGAATAAAATCAAATTTGGGAGACAACATTTAAGAGATGAAAAAATTGACGAAATGTGTTCAAGAAAGACAGGTCAAGAAATAGACAGTCGTTTTGCAACAAGGTCATCACATCAATATTCCTTTTGACCCTTACCATAATCAAGAAATACACAGAGAGAGTAGATAACTTAGTGCGCTTAGTTTTAGGAAGAAGAAGAAGAAGAATGCAGGTAAAATGAAAAACATGTAGTTCGAAATAATTCGGAGATGTAATACAAAGAGTAATCTTAGAAGGTAGCTTGTTAATAAGATAAACAACACTAAGAATAGCCTCACCCCAAAAAAGAACTAGGAATAGATGCAGAGAGCAACAAGGAATGAGCAGTCTCCACGATGTGTCTATTCTTGTGCTAACCCAATCCATTTTGTTTAGGAGGTGAAAACAAGAAAATTGTTGAATAGTTCCATCAGATTTTAATAATTGAAGAAAATCAGTATCCTTGTATTCGCAATCCATGTCAGAACGAAAGCATTTAACAACTGAACAATATTGGGTATGAATCATGGCATGAAATACAATAAACATCCAGAATAATTCAGATTGCTGTTTCATAATATAAATTCAACAATATTGAGTATAATTATCAGCACCTGAAACATAGTACCATGATCCCACTTTATTAGGAATAGGAGAAGAAACAATGGAACTTTTATTAAAAAGCAAATTCATAAAATTGCCAGTTTGCATCCACTACAATATTATATATCATAACAACTCAAATTTCCTAAAACACCAATAGAAACCAAATGCTACAAACGAGAACTAGAAATATGACCAAGACAAGAATGCCAAACCACTTTGGACTCAAACGAAAGGAATAGAAATCAACAGAAGAAGCAACCACAATAGGAACATGCACCTTTTCAACACATACAACCCACCCAACCTGTGGCTTATCCCAGTCATTGGCTTGGAGTGAAGATCCTGCACAATGCAATCAATAAAAGAGAAATGATCACGATAACCAGTAGAATAGAGTTGATTGACCAAAAATAAATTCAATGATAATTGAGGAAACAATAAACAAACATCATAAAGAGATAGAAACGCAGTCATAATGGAACTAACACTTGCCAAGAGCATAGAAGTGCCGTTAGTTGTCAAGAACAGTTGTAAAAGGAGGAGAAAAAGCAGAAAAGAGTATAGAGGAATCATTAGTCATGTTTTGTGTAGCACCATAGTCTACCCAAGTAGAGCAGGATATGTTGGGAGTATAAACCGTTAGGCTGATTGGTAGAAAGAAGTTTTTGCAATTGCAAAAATATTTAAGGTGGGAATTGGTTGGGATTGATCCTCCATGGATGACACAATAGATGTAGTGTCTGTCCTAACACTTTTTCGAAGTCTGCTGCTGTCTAGTGTGTTTATCCCCACTCTTCTTCGAAGACTGGTTGTCCAGAGTTCTAACGATTCAAAAGTTGAGGACATCTGGCCTTGAAGTGACTTTGCTGACGACAAAAAATGCTTTCATCCATAGATGCGCAAGTAGGCTGTTTACTTTGTGTACTGAGTGTTTTGTTAGCAGGTGATGCCAAAATTGTCTTACTAGGTATTATAATTAACTCTTTTCTTGGTGAAGTTCTAAGATGAATTTGCTCTGCCAATAGCTCAAGCACGGCAGAGTTAACTGAAGGAAGTGGACTCGGTGAAGAATAGTGGCTCAAAGTCCTTCAAGATTATCTCTAAGTGCCATTAATAACCAAAAACTCTTGTATGATTTTGATTATTTTACATATTTTTTGAGTAGCTTGAATCTCATGCTCCCATCGGTATCGTTTGAAAAAATTCAATTTAGTACACAATTTGGAGAGAATTTCAAATTCTCTTCGCCGTGATAAACTTAACCAAGTGAATGCCATTATATTGATCGTCAAAACTATTTATCCAAGTGATAAATTTAACATTATTAACTTCCCATTGGCAAAATAACTCATCAAAAATTTCGGGCTTTATATCTGTAGGCATCTTAGCAACCCCATAAAGATAATCCATCATCATGTTTTTTCCCAAAAGAAATTTTTTACATAACATATGACCAATAACCAACAAGTATAGTTGTCACTCACCAATTTCACACTAATTGCTTGAAAAGAATAAATTTTTTACTAGCCATGGTCCCAAAACTGGTAACTAGTTCGCAAATCATTATCTCAATAACAATATTCAGATCAAGTCTTGTGTTCTAAAACCATTACATGATATTTGTAGGAAAACCAAATTAAAAGAAGAATCTAATAAGTAAGCAAAATCCTGATACAAGTATAATTCCTATATTATACAAAAAAATTAATATATTCTTAAATTTAGGCTTGGTTTGGGGTACACTAAATAATACAAAAAGTCAAAAAGTCACTATCCTATTTAAGTCACATCATCTTATTTAAATCACATCACCTCTCTAACACATCACATTAAACTCAACCCAAACCCAACCCATATAAGCCAATAAGTCAAAAAGTGCACTTTTTTAGAACATGTAAGATAAATTGATGTATATTATTGACTGATATTATGTTATATTTATTACAATGATTCATGATTCCTATATATAGAAGAGGGTGAGTGTGTAGTAGGTAAGGAGTAGGTGAAGTGGAGGTGGTAGTGGTGTAGTGGGTTAGGTTTAGTAGAGTAGGTTTAAGTGGGTGAAGTAGGTGATAGGTTTTAACAGCCCCCCGCAAACTCAAAGGGGATAGGAACTAACCAACTTGAGTTTGGAGAGAGTAACAAAACAAGAAAATAGACGAATACATAAAAGAAAAGAGGATAGGAGACACTGTATGGTCGTGTCAGACCATTGGTGAAAACACTGGATGGTGGTGTCATAACGTTGTAGAGGACACTGTATGGGAGTGTCATAACCATGTAGTTGCTTCTGCCAACTTAGAAGCTCCTAATCATATTAGAACACTATTGGATTGAATTTAAATTTGATTGTACCATCGTACAATATCAAACCATTCCTAGCCGTTAATGCGATTCGAATGAGATGAACTCTGTTTCAATTTCTGACTCTGCTTGTATTGCACATTAAAAAAAAATCTAAATTTCAGAAATAGGAGCCAGCTGGTACTATGATTCTGCCAAATTTTCATTTCCCTAAAGCATGTACTCTTTCTTGTTTATGTGGTTCTTATAGCAAGTGCCTGTGTTATTTTTTTGTTTTACTTTCTTAAATGCCTGTAGTTAGTTTGTGCACAATAACCATTGCTTATCTACTATTTTCTGTATAAGGCTTCTACTCGTGAATTTGTGGAAGCTGTCCGTGCTTATCGGGTAATATTCCCTGATTCAGAGCAGCAACTAATCAAACTTTCCCAAGACCTTGTTACCAAGTATGACTTTATTTTTCATCAAATTTTTAAAAAAAATTGCTAGCATTTATGATGTACTTTTTCTTGGATGATCTTTTAAAGAAGAAAAAATGCATTTTGCTCATGACATGTCATTGACATTTGTTTCTTAGGCACTTTGAAGCTATTCAACAACAAATTAAGAGACGGATTTGTTCAGCAGATCTACTCGGAATGCTTTGTAAGTTCAAAATGCCTGCCATTACATCAATACATGTCATTGTATTGGTACTGTACTGCTACTTTTATTTATTCACAATAACCAGTTTCTTAGCCCCAAGTAGTATTCACAATAACTAGTTTGTTAAGCTTGCTTTTGAAAAGCCTAGTGGTGACCTATCCTGACAATAGCGAGGCAACTGTCTAAGCACTTAGATGGCCGCTGTAAACAATAAGTGCTTCTCAATGACTGTGAAGTGTTTAGACTTTTTCAAGTCCTCACACATGCCCTTTGAATATAGAGGTTTTTTTTCTTGTTCATAACCTAAATGCAACAAAATCTTCTTCTATCTCATTTACCTGATAAGAGCAAAACCAACCTTCTTAATGATCTTTTAGAAGAAATCCTGTAAATAAGAAATTCTTTTGTTTCTAATTTAGGGGCTTTGCACTGTGGACTTCTTTAATCATTTCCCAATTATTGGAGGGGGGAAGAGTTGGTGCCAGCTATATAAAATAAAGTGTTGTGCCACGTCTAGGGCAGATCAAATACTTTGGAAAAAAAGTTGAAAGAAAAGTTGAAAAGATGAGAGGAGAATGGGACAAGCCCATGTGATTATAATAAAAAATAATGAGAATGAGAAGAAATGGGTTGGTACAGTGCAAGTGTGTTAGTAATATATTAAAATAAAATAAAAGAAATCCAGTGGGGGTTTCGGAACCTGTGGGCTAGGATAGTGATGTGAATATATTAAAATGGGTAGGAGTGTCCATTTCTGCTTGAAGACTTCGTAAAGACCCATTCGGATGGTGGAATAGAGAGTCTGGCGGAGGATGGTGGCGGAGACGCCGGAGTACAAGGCGGCAACGCCTTCTGTCTGGAAGATCTTCACCCCAACCGAGATGAGACCCGCCTTCGGCGGCGGCGGCGGTTGAGTTGAAAGCAAAAGCAGTGGAAGGAGAGAGGTGCTGGTACAGTGAAACTTTTGAAGCACAAGGGAACTGGAAAAGTTCGGCTCGTTATGCGACAATCCAAAACCCTCAAGATCTGCGCCAACCATCTCGTTCTTCCGACGATGTCGGTCCAGGAACACACCGGGAACGAAAAGTCATGCGTTTGGCATGCGGCTGATTTCGCTGATGGCGAATTGAAAGATGAACTCTTTGCCATTAGGTTTGGGTCTGTTGAGAATTGCAAAACATTCATGGAAATGTTTCAAGAGGTAGCTGAATCACAAAAGAAAGAGGAAAACAAAGATGCATCTGCTGCTGCCAGGCTACTTGAGAAACTGAGTGTTGAAGATGAGAGAGCAGCAGAAGACAAAGCCAGTGAAGAGGTGTCTGTCATGGTCTGAGAGAGCCGAGAGGTAAGAGAGAGGAAGATGAAGTTACAGTCTGGGTATGTGTAGAGGTCCAGCGGGCGGCCAAGGCGAGGCTGCCGCCCGCCGGTGAAGCAGAATGAATAGGTTCTTAACCTAGCTCTGATACCATGTAAGATAAATTGATGTATATTATGACCAACCCTATCCAATGCCTTCCTGATCACCATCACATCCCTTAATAATTTGAAGTTGGGTTGAATTCAGATGTATATAGGTGTTTTAATGTTTGATCAGACCTGAATATTTCCTATTTTAAAATTATTTATTTGTCTTTTTATATTATGTATTCAGATATATTTGCTTGTAAGGATTATTATAATGTGAACTGTCTTTACGTCTTGAAGAGGAGGAAAAAGGGAAAAAGCAATCAAGGTGCTTTGTGATGTAATCCCTACTATGTAGTTATTTATGGAAGATTCCCCACGATATATATGTTGTTATGGCTGCTTCAAAGATTTGTTTTTTTATCTGCTGCAAGAGGTTGAGCTACCTTCCTTCAATTTGCACATTATCATATCTTTGCAAATTATATTTGAATCTTATATTCTGTATAGACATACAGTAGAAGCAAAAAATATTATTTTCATTTTTATGTTTATTTTTAAAAATGAAAATCCGAAGCATACGTATGTTCATTTGTTAAACTTACTCTTTAATATTTTAACTGGTTGTGATAGCAGCAGCATAATCATGTTGAAACTACACCTTCCATGGTTTACATTTTTATTCCTTTTTATGAGTGAACCTATGATATCTATTTTGGTCAAATTCAAATGTATGTTTTTGAAGGTGAAGAAATGTGAATCTAATGCTAATTTACAAATCATTGCCACTAAGCAACCTAAAAATGATGTCTCTTACGTGGTGTATATGGAAAATATAACGGATCATGCAACAAGTACTGAATTGCATCTTGTTAAAAGAAAAGTACTGAGTTGCATATTGTAACAGGAGACAATATGTCAGCAATGCGGTGACAAAGGAGTTGAGGATGCTCTTGTTTACTGTGTCAAGTGTCTGAATTTTGCAGTGCACCGGTAAGTTGCATGAATAGTATTTCATTTCTAGCTCTACTGCCCCTACGCTATTTATTGATTTATTTATTTAATTTTTAATTCTAGAATTGAAAAATGAAAGGTGTAATATTTTCGTATCTGGTTTGTCATTCTGATGGAACTGAAAAAATGAAAGATGGAATATACTCTTTAGTAAAGATGCAAAGCTTATCAAAGTGATTAAATGAAATGGAAATAATGTTTCTTGATGTTCTAAATTTTATTCTGAGTGTTTATAAACAATGAGCTCAACTCACCATGAAACCAAATTTAATATTCCAAATGGATTGAGAATATGCATCGACTCTTCTTTCTTTCTTTTTTTTTTTTTTTCATTTAAAAAAATAAAATAAAAATCTTATAAGCTGTCTTCCCTTTTTCTTCCTATATATTTTCAGCTACTGTTTGCCTACACTGCCAGAAACGTTTGATGAGTTTGTCCATTGGTTTTGTGAGGATTGTGAACCAGAGTCTGTAAAACAATCTCCTCTTGAGAAACCTTGCTCTACCCCATTTGTTGAAAGGAATCATGTAATGTCTGAAGGTGTTCAAGTGACCTACTCTAGAAAGAATTTAAAGCAAAATGATGTTGCTTGCCGTGTGGCCGAGACAGAAGAGCATCTACATCCAAGTAGCCCCTCACAACAGCCTTGTGATGCAAAAACAAAGCTTGATTTGATTGAGCACACTCAGTTGGCTCATGATTCTTCTTCACTGAAAACAAAATTGAAGGTCACGACAGAAAAGGAAAGTACTTGCCCAGTCACTTTAACAGAGGAGAATAGACATCAAAATAGCCCCTCCCAGCAACCTCCCGAGCTGAATAGCAAGCTTGCCTTGACTGACAGTGCTCAGTTGGTCAGTGATTATTCTCTTCCAAAAAAAAAATTGAGGAGGATTAAAAAAGGTTTTACTCGCACGGTGGCTGAGGCAGAGGACCAAAGACAACAAAGTAGCTCCACCCAGCAGCATTCTGGGACACAGACAAAGCCTGACCTGACTAACCATGCTCAGTTGGCCCAAAAATTGAGGAGGATTAAAAAAGGTTTTACTCGCACGGTGGCTGAGGCAGAGGACCAAAGACAACAAAGTAGCCCCTCCCAGAAGCGTTCTGGGACACAGACTAATCTTGACTCGACTGAGCATGCTCAGTTGGCAGGTGATTGTTCTGCCCTAAAAATTAAATTGAGGAGGAAAAAAAAGGATGTTACGACTTCAGTAGCTGAGCCAGAGGAACAAAACTGTCAAAATAGCCCCTCTCAGGAACCTTTTGAGGCACATTTAGAGCATGCTTTGTGTGTGGGCAGCCCTCCCCTGAATGAGAGTAGGACTATTAGCTCATCTAGTGAGAAACTTGGAAATGATCTGAAACTTGGAAAACGAAGAAGATTGATTTTAGAGGGCAGTGAACTCGGTGAAGAGGCTGAGTCAGTTAGAATTGCTGATTCTCAATTAGTTGTTGCTGATTCTCAACTAGGCGTTGCTGATTCTCAATTAGTCGTTGCGGATTCTCAACTAGGCGTTGCTGATTCTCAATTAGGTGTTGCTGATTCTCAACTAGTCGTTGCTGATTTGTCAAATGATTTAGAACTCAGTGACTATCTCCTTGCACAACCGATCATTGATCCTATTTGGAGGTGAGAAATTGTACTTTTCTTTGTCTCATATAAATTGTTGAATTTTGACAATTTGTTTGGACACCTTACGTGTGGTATCAACTTGTACAGGGGAAATTTTAGTATTTACAACAAAGATTATGGTTTATTGGATGGAGTTGTAGCCCATTTGTCAAGCAAAGCGTGCCCAAAAGTGTGTGAAGAGGCTAGTCTGTTACCAGCATTGCTTCGTTCAGAGATCCTTCCAAAGACTGATGTCTGGCCAAAGAGTTTCCAGAAATCAGAACCATGTGATGACCATATTGGCCTATATTTCTTCTCTGAAGACAAAAGGTGTTGGTTGCAACACTTTTATGTTGTTTTACTTTCTACTTTTCCCAATTCGAATATATATATATACATTTCCTTTTTTGATATTTTGTGTTTCAGGTATGAAAGCTTGGTGGATGACATGATGCACCAAGAACTTGCCTTGAGAGCCGTTGTCAGAAATGCAGAGCTCTTGGTTTTCCCTTCTACTGAATTGCCACTACTGTACTGGAGTGAGTCCAGATTTCAAATGGTGATAATGAGCATCATTGTATTTGCTGAGTTTAACTATTTGAAATAATTGATTTGCAGAATTCCTTGGCAAATATTATTTGTGGGGAGTGTTTCGGCCAAAGAAAGCATCCTCACCTGATGCAGCAAATCACGATCTTGTGGTTGTAAATAGCAACATCGAATGTGCTTCATATTCAAAATCTGCAAATGGTATGGATACTGAAGAGGAAAGAAACCTCACAAAGACCAAGAATTGGAATGCACGGAGTCCTCTAAGTCCTTTAAGCAACTGTAGCAGTTCAGGGTCTGGCTCTTGTTGATATATTCTTGTCTGTCTAATAATATGATAATTTTATTGAAATTTCTATTCATTTTCTATGTTGTATAGTGCTTTGGGCTGACAATACTGAGATTTCAGGTGAACTATGAACAAGATGTGGAACTGGAATCTGGAGATTGATAATACATCTGAAGTTCTGAGGTCGATAAAATAGGATGTGCTATTAGCTTTCCCGTGTAAACCCTCCTATGGAGCAATGTTAACCTGGATACTGATGATATTGCACTTGGAACAGAATCATGGGTAAGTTGGCCCATTTCTTTCTTTCTTTAAAAAAATAAAAAAAAAGGATTGCAGCTTAATGCCAGCCTGATCGAAACTTGGATGCGTGTTATCCACCTCTCTGTTTTTTGGTGTAGGAGACGGGGGGTGGAGGATGAGGGCTGGATGGTGGGGTTGATTTGTAAATTATGTACTTCAGAAGGCGTTGTTAACTAGTTATGATGTAGATATTTGTTCATGTCATGTTGGTGTTGTGATGGTGGGGTTCATTTAGTTATGTTCTTTGATTGGACTATCTTCTCTGTTGTTAGGTGTAGTATCTCTAAGCTAGCTTTGTTATTTGTTGTTCAGAAAAGTTGCTAACCTAGCAAAAGTCTCGTTTCGTATAGTTGTGAAAAAGTGATTATAGATTATAAATTAACAGATTATGACTTATAATTGTGAATATAAGTTGTTAATCTGTTTGGTGTAATTGTGAGATTATAAATTTAAGTAGCAGAGTAATGTTTGGTTAATAAGCTGTAAAATAGTTTTTTATTATATAATTGTCTTTTTTGTCTTTATATAATATAAAAATGATTATTTTGTCATTTTTTTTCAGTTTTAATTTAAAAAATATATATTTTATTAATAAAAGTTAATATAAGTAGTATTAATTAGTATCAATTAATATAAAAATTGATACATTTGCTAAAAATGTAATGAAAGTATTATTGTTACTAGGAGTGGACAACGGTTTATCCAAACCCGCTCAAACCGCTCAACCTGCTTAACCCGCATATAAATAGGCAGTTTTACAAATATAATATGGGTGGATACGGTTTGAAATATGACAAATTTGCGGGTTGCGGGTTAGTCGCGGTTTAAATTCGCAATTTGCAAAAATCACCGCACTTTAATTATTATTATTATTTTTTATATATCAACTTTTTAACTTTTACAGGAATACCATTATATTCTCATGACACTAGGATTCTTATTTTTAAGTATTTCTCAACTTTCTTAATGTCGTAGAATTATCAAGTCCTAAACTTGGATTCTTTTATGATTTTTATTGGTGTTTCATTCACTTTTTCTTAATAAAATTTTCTTTTTGGTGGTCAATGAAACTTCTAGTTTGATTATTGATTACTGAACTGATAATTCTAATTGAGTACAACCTTTAATGCATTGATATATATTTTTTTCATGGCAAAAATGTTAGTGTAGGGTCTCTTTGTTTTGGGTACTTTCATTTAATGCATTGATATTCAATTTTTATTTGTAAACTCATCAGAAAATTGTTATCACAAATATGTAAAATGAATTTGATGCCTAAATTGGATGGAAAAAAAAATTCAAAAATTAATATTTAAAGAAGAAAGTGTAAAGTGTAAACCGCAAACCGCTCGCAACCGTCTGTACATTTGAAAACCTTATCCGCACAAACTGCAAACCGCACTGCGGACAGTTACGGGTTGACTTTATCCTAAACCGCATAGATGCGGGCTGGTCAGAATCGAACCGCAAACCGCACAAAATCGATCCGCGAACACCCTTTATTGTCACAATTATTTTTCATTATAAATTAATTAGTATCAATTAATTGCTTAATTAGTATCAATTAATATTAAAATTATTAATTAGTATTAATTAATGGCTTAATTAGTCTCAATTAATATTAAAATTATTAATTAGTATAAATTAATATTAATATTTAATTTTTATTGGTATCAATTAATATTAATAATCAACAATTGTTATTAATTAGTATCAATTAATAATTAATTCATCACAAAAGTATACAATATTAATTTATTAATAATTAATACCAATTAATATTGATTTTTTTTAATTAATATTGATTTTTTTCTTTTTCGTCAGAAATATACAATTTTTTATTTTTTTAATTAATATAAAAATATACAATATGAATTTATTAATAATTAATACCAATTAATATTTATTTTTCAATTAATATTGATTTTTTTCTTTTTCTTCATAAGTATACAATTTTTAATTAATATTAATATTAATATTAATATTTGGGTATTGCCACACAAACTGCGTGCTTAAGTAAAAAATTTAAGTACCCCCTGACCAGCTTTTGAGATAAACTGAGAAATAGTTTGATTTAAGTTATAAGCTGGTTAATTTAAGTTGCACCAAATACAATAGTTTAGCTTAAATTAAGCTAAAAGTTTAAATATGCAGTTTATAAGCTCTACCAAACAAGTCTAAAGCTAGACATAAACTTTTCCAGAAAAGTGGTGTGATCCAGATTTAAGGCCTTGTTTGGGAACAAGTTATTTTAGTAATTTTTTGATATTTTATAAAAAAATATACAAAAAAATAAAGAGAGTGATGTGTTACTTTATAGTGATTTTTTTGATTAAAATATGTAATTGCCGAACGTGGCCTAAATAAGCCTACATACTTACCTAGAATAGTACATCTATGACCAAAACCGATCTTAGTGGCTCACATCTCACTATTTTAAAATAGGGCGAATTATATTAACAATCCTTATAATTTGAGACTTGCATCACTTTGGTATTTAATTTTTTAGTTGTGACATATTTGATCTTAAATTTTGAATATCTTTTTAAATAAGGACAATTAAAGATATTGTTGTTCCATTTGAAGGGCAAAGTCGTCATAAAATTTATTTTGTATTAGTTAATTTATATATTTGAATTTTTTTTTTGTTTTTGGATAACTGAGTATCTGGATTAGCATCCCTTCGGAGTGTCACACCTCAACTAATTTCAAGGCCTAAGTCGATCGACCAGGTAAAGACACAATAGCCTGCCAGAGTAACCAGCTGGGGGTGGGATTCAAACTTGAGACTTAGAGAGGAGTATATTCCTAAGTCCTTGATCCTTTGCTCTCAACCAACTAGGTTACCCCTGTAACGGTGATTTTTTTTTATTGAGTAGTGTTAAAAAAAATTTTGTTATAAAGTTTTGTTTGGTTTGGTTTGGTTTTTAAAATTTATTTTCAGAATTTTTTTTTCTAAAAAACTAAAAATTAAATTGCTGAAAAAAATTAAAATATATCATTTTTATTTAATTTTATCTTTTGAGAGTGTATAAATAAATTTTTTTTATATTTATTTTCGGTAAATTAGTTTTCATTTTTTTAAAAGTCAAATATAATGATAATTTTGATATCATTATAAAACTGATCTATTAAATCAAAAGATCCAAAACTAAAAACATTTAGTATATTAAATGTTACATAGGAAGGCAACTTAAGATGGGGGTAAATTGGGTAATTAAAAAAATTTGAACAGAAAATAAGTTTCAAATAACTAAGTGAGTAAATACAGTAGGCAATTAATACATAGAAAATAAACGAGAGGGAAATGAGAGCTCAACCACAAAGATTTATAGTGGTTCAGCTCACTGGCCTTCACTATGAATAATTGCATCACCAAACTTCACTTAGCTTGTGGATTTTTACAAAAGACTTATTTCAACCTGTTGAGGATCTCTCAATTAAAATGCCTCACTTTACAAATGTTTTACTCAGAAAATAGAAATAAGAGTAAGAGGTACAATTGTCATCTTTTACCGATTTTCTCTATCAAAAGATGGATATGAAAATATAAGTACAGAAGTAATTTAAGATTCACTCAAATATGAACATAGAAATATAATGAAGTATAATAAAAGCTCTTGAATGCTCTAGGCTTCTTGTATTGAAAAAGTGTATCTATTGAACATGGAGAGCTTCTTCTTTATAGCATTAATGGCTTTTAGGTGTTGGAGAGAAGTAGATTTGAATCTTCTAACCATTGGAGCAAATCATGGAGGATATCTTCCAACTGTGTTTGATTAGTGTATGGTGTATATAGATTGTAGACAGGTTTTGGAAAGAGAATGATCATTAAATGTACAAGCTTTTCATTAAATGCTCACCTTTATAAGTCAACTTCTTGGAAGAAGATATGATATCAGAAGATCTGTTTAGGGATCAGAAATGATGTCATATTATGCACATAGATCAGAAAAAGTGGTTGAGAAAAGAGCTGTGTCAGTCCAGATCTGATTTGGCAACTGGATTTTTGAAACTCAGATTTTACGGGTGTTGACCCCTACAGATTGGGTGTCAACCCTTTGCTCTATTTTCTTCTTTGAGTTGATTTCCAGATGTTTCTAGTGTCAACTTTTATTATTCTTAGTGTTGTTGACCTTTGCTGCTGGATTGTGTTCTGAAATTTAGTGTCGACCCTTGTTGTTCTTGGTGTCGACTCTTGCTGCTAGATTGCATTCTGAAATTTAGTGTCGACCTTTGCTGTTGGATTGTATTATGAAATTTAGTATCGACCCTTACTGTCTTGGCAACTGGATTTTCAGAACAGATCTGACCTTTGAGTTGTGTCAGTCCAGATCTGATTTGGCAACTGGATTTTTGAAACCCAGATTTTACGGGTGTCGACCTCTACAGATTGGGTGTCGACCCTTTGCTCTTTTTTCTTCTTTGAGTTGATTTCCAGATGTTTCTAGTGTCGACTTTTATTGTTCTTAGTGTTGTTGACCTTTGCTGCTGGATTGTGTTCTGAAATTTAGTGTTGACCCTTGTTGTTCTTGGTGTCGACTCTTTCTGCTAGATTGCATTCTGAAATTTAGTGTCGACCTTTGCTGTTGGATTGTATTATGAAATTTAGTGTCGACCCTTGCAGCTGGAACACTTAGGCAATTTGAGTTTCACTCTGGTGTCGACCCTTGGTATTTTGGTGTCGACCTTTGGACTTGTTTTAAGCATAAATAGTGTTTTGCATGCATGTGCTAATTTCATGTTTTTGAGGGGCCAAAAACCATTGAAAAACAACATTATAGAAGCGTATATCTTTTAGAACCATTGAAGCACAATTTGTATAATATTATTTTGAAAACTTTGAATAATAAAATGAGTTCAAAGTATTTGTCAATAATCAAAATTAATAAGAATTTAAATTTGAATAACTTTGGGGCTAACAATCTCCCCATTTTTTATGATGACAAATATTTAAAATTTTCAAAATATGAGTTTCAAAGTGAAGATATTAAGAAGTGTTTTTCAAGGAGTTTGTAAATAAAGAGTTTGGAAATCGAGATTGAAAACTCCCCTTATAAAAAGGGCTTTATGGCCAAGACAATGGTAATTCAAAATAGAATGAGAGATATATATCAAAGCAATAAAACAACTTGATATAGAACAAGCTCCCCCTGTCAATCTGCACTGAAACATTCATTAGTAAAATCAATTTTTTTATTTTATTTTCATTGAATGAAATCACAACATCTTTAAAAAAAAAACGATTTACATAACTCTCTAAGTGTGTGCGTTGTTGATAATGTGTATAAGGACATTCACAATCAATCACAACCAAATATCGACATGTTTCATATCATCCAAAAACAATTCATCAAGATTCATATATAAAGAGATTGTCGCAATGTCTAATGTATTTAAAT